GGTCTCTCTCTCTCTCTCTCTCTCTCTCTCTCTAAAGCCCCTCGTTTGAGCTTTTTGCCAAGTTTCCGTATTTCCCTTTTTTTTTTTTTTCTAATTCTTTATCAATCAGTGAAACGAGTCTCCACTGGGGAGAAGATGAGGGGGGGGTGGTTTTTTTTTATTTCAAGATCCTACGGAGCATACCGTGTATTTCTATAAGTATTCTTCTATCCCGTGTACATATCATAAACTTTCACTATATCCAGGAAGATGAAAGCAGAAACAGGCTATGCACCTCGGAGCATCGTCATTTCTAATGCGAAACCCAAAGAAAGCCTTATGGCCGATGTCGGGAATAATTGGAGAGCAGTGTTATTGTAAAGCACCTCCGTACGTTGTTACTCTTTACTCTTGGCAACGTATTCTCGTTTACAGTGGGGTATCCTGTAGGAAAATTCTTCCGGAGTTGGCTTCTCTGGGGTTTTTTTTGGGGGGGGGGGGGGGGGGAAGTATTTAAAGTGGGGTGAGCATGATATTATATGCGATGACAACTTCGTACTTGATATGTAATTTGGTTACGATAATGATTATATGAGGATCCTCATATATACTATAAACCATGTATCGTGGTATAGACGTCATTCATCACCGATTCCTTCAATGGATTTAGCCGAATAATGGGGGAAGGTGGTCTGATAGATTGAGGTATTTTTATTTTAGAATGATTTGTCGAAAATGTAATCGAGTAAGTAATGTGTACAATTTTTTTTCGCGCTTGGCTCGCTGGAACATACAAATCCTATGCCCCTCTGCCTTTTTAAACCCCGAAACTTCCTCAAAATCCATTTGGGCTCTTTCTTTGGGCGCGTTTGCCTACGATCTTCTCCAGCCACTCATGTTGCAGCTAATTAGATCGCCTAAGCAGACTACTACCTACCTTGTCATATGTTATATACGTTACCTGGAATATGCATGAGTGAGAGAAAATCATTGCTCAGGTCATGGACCGATTTACTCAATTCCCCGCCATCAATAACGATGGTGATGTTCACATCATACCCTGGCAGGTGGACGCCCAACTCCCCTCTGAAATTTTTGCTGTGTCATGGGCAGTCTTGCTACGCGCATTCACAACAGATGAGAACCCGGTCTTTTTGTTGACGGGGGTACCTGTAAAGGTAGATCTATCCACCCAGACGGTTCAGCCAGCAGATCTGGCGACCGCATCAGATCTCTCAGGCAAACACACCGCTGTGGTGTTGGGAGATCCTCTATTCAGCGATGACGGACAACCCCCGGCGTTGCGGTGGACCGTGGACCCCATGACTCAGTTGGGAGTCTTGTGTGCGACCGGAGGCATGAACGCCGCTTTCCTGCACCAGCTGGGCAACCAGCTGAAGTGGATTGTGCAGGAGCAGGCTGCCCAGAAGGGTGTGCAGGTGACACTATCCGCCAATGAGCTTCCTGATCTAGCCATTTCAAATGCCTTTCCCTCCACGCTACCAGGGCCTCAACTTCTACATGAGCTTGCCCTGCGCGGGCTCACCGATTCGAACCACGCCATTGAATTCCTAACTGCGGATGGAAAAGTTCGTTACTTGTCGTACCATGACTTGGACCGGCTTTCCTCGGAGCTGGCGAGGAAAATCGCTCGTGTCTTGATCATCTCACAGGGCGTACAGAGAATTGTGCCAGTGCTTTTGCCCCAGTCTGTGGACTTGTACGTTTCATGGCTGGCCATTCTCAAAGCTGGCGCAGCTTTCTGCCCCTTGAACACCGACGCACCAACAGATCGTATTGAGTTCATCCTGCAAGATGTGGCTGCATCTGTGGTGGTCACAAATGATGCGCTTGCAATAAGGATACCGCCCAAAGAGGATATTTCTATACTCACCGTGGACGATCTTCAACCCAGTGATCTCACAGAGCCGTGCTCAAAGAACACCACTTCCACGGACCTGGCATATGTCATGTACACATCTGGCTCTACAGGCCGTCCCAAAGGCGTTGGAGTGTCCCATCTTGCTGCCACCCAATCACTCCTTGCTCATGATGATTTGATACCCCCTTTCAAGCGCTTTTTACAATTTGCATCTCCCACCTTTGATGTTTCAGTGTTTGAGGTCTTCTTTCCAATGATGCGAGGATCAACCCTTATCGGCTCCGAGAGAGAAAACTTGCTCCTTGATATCTCCCATGTGATGACTACGATGAGAGTCGATGCAGCTGAGTTGACCCCAACAGTGGCAGGAGAGTTGCTGCGGACGCGGGCCGCAGCTCCAACTCTCCGAGTGCTCCTCACAATTGGTGAAATGCTTACCAGACATGTGATCGACGAGTTTGGCCAGTCTGACGGCAGAGATGGCATTCTTCATGGGATGTACGGACCTACGGAAGCAGCAATCCATTGTACCGCTGCCACCCATTTTCAGGCCAAAGATCATGTCAATATGATTGGAAAGCCCTTCAAAACTGTCTCTGCTTACATCATGGCACTACCCTCCGACGACGAGCTAACATTTACGGAGCTTCACCCCCTTTCACTAGGCCAAGTTGGAGAGCTTGTGGTGGGTGGTCCTCAATTGGCAGACGGGTATATCAACCGCCCCGAAGAAAACGCCAAGGCTTTTGTGGACAGTCCGGTGTATGGCCGACTATATCGCACGGGAGACAAAGCCCGCATGCTCCCTACCGGGGAGATTGAGTGTTTTGGTCGAATTTCCAGCGGCCAGGTGAAGCTGCGAGGCCAGCGGATAGAACTCGGCGAGATAGAGCATGTCATCACCAGAGCCTCCGGTGTTCGCAGTGCTGTAACCATAGTCATCGACGGGAACCTGGTTGCATTTGTTCTGGTTACCGACAAAGGAACCACGGACAGTAGTCTCCGAAACGTCTGTCGTCAGCTATTACCTCGCTTCATGATTCCTGGAGAATTTGTGCTCGTCGACCAGTTCCCCCAACTTCCCTCGGGCAAGATCGATCGTAAAACACTAGAAGCCGATTTTGTTCGCCATCGAAGCACCACTCTGGCTTTTGATGGCCAACCGTGCCGAGACGAAAAAGAAGAGTCCATCTTCTCAAGCGTGGCTGATGTGTTAGGCCGGCGACTCTCATCGACAGAGAGCCTGGCAGCAGCAGGCCTTGATTCACTAGCAGTAATCCGTCTCGCGTCCCATCTCTTGGATGCAGGAATTTGCCTGGGTGTGGCTACCCTGCTGGAGGCTGACTCAGTGGACCAAATCTGGCAACTTGCCACGAGCCTTGAGGCTGCGAGCCCGAGTAATGATGCGCAAACAGCCCTCCAGGCCGTTCTCCAGCTTGTTTCAGGTGCAGGTGCAGCAAGGGTCGACTCGCTGGGGTTGAGCAAGCAGGTTTCGGACATCGTACCGTGTAGCCATGTTCAACAGGCTATGATTATAGAGACTGCTCGAGACAACAAAGCATATTGCAACTGGATTGAGCTGGAATTCGAGCACTCGGTCAGTGTAACTTCAGTGAAAAATGCATTTGGTCAACTGGTGGACCATAACGAGATCCTGCGGTCTGGATTTGTCGAAATCGGCCTCAAGGATCACTCATATGGCCGCTTCACTTGGAATGTCCTTGACACGTATATTTCCATGAAACAGGAGTTCGACTACGATTTGGGGTTGAGCGCAGGTCACGACGTCTTGAACCCCTTCCGAGTCCAGATCAAGCAGGGGAAAGATCATCTCCGCGTGCTGGTGCATATCCATCATGCAATCTATGATGGATGGTCATGGCAACTCCTGTTGAAAGATCTCAGGAGTGTACTGTCCGGAAAGGAGATCACTGCTAAACCCCCATATAATGTCGTCGCAAACTTCTTCATTGAGCACAAACTGGACAAATCGGCAACAGAATCCTTGGCCTACTGGCAGGATCAACTCCAGGGGTTTAATCCTGCGAATTTCCCTACTTTCTATGGAAATGCAGATATCGCACATGCCACCGAAAAGACTACTCGCGTGCTAGATATATCCGTATCAAAACTCAATGAAGTCTCCCAGCATCTTCGCGTGAGCCGGCAAACAATTTTTCAAGCCGCATTTTGCTATCTTCTCACTTCCTACCTCGGAACCGGTGATGTTACCTTTGGAACTGTATTTTCAGGCCGGACTTTGCCCTTGAAAGGCATCGAGACTGTTCTCGGACCCTGCATCAGAACTTTGCCTACGCGCATGAACCTTGACAAGATGGAAGACGTGACCGATCTCCTCTTGGCACTCCAGAACATGAATCGCAAGTCGCTCGAGCATGGCAGTCTTCCTCTCCAGGATATCAAGAAGGTTTCTGGCGTCGACTTGGATTGCAGTCTTTTCGATACGGCGCTCGTGTGGCAGGAAAGCATTTGGTCAGATGATGACCAAGGCTCGGTATTCCGGGAAGTTGGAGCGGGGGAGTTTTTAGAATTTGCGCTTTTGCTGGAGTTTGAGCCGCGAGATGAAACCATCATTGCTCGGGCGACCTTTCAGAAGGCGGTGCTACCGTTCGAGCAAGCTATGACACTCCTGGAGCAGATTGATTCCGTTGCTTCGATCTTGATTGACAAGATTAAGCTTCCGATCCAGGAGATTCAATCGTATCTTCCCTCGTCAACGTTGTCTATCCAACATGCAGCATCATGCGAGCAAGCCGATCTGCCAAGCTTGACATCCGGCGTCGAGATTATTGCCTCTACAGACCCGAACCGGGTAGCGGTTGAGTTGATGCTCTGGAAGCCAGAAACTCCTGCCCCGTTGGTTGAAAGCATGACCTATGGTCAACTAAACTCCCAAGCCAATGGATTTGCACACCTTTTGCTCCATCTCGGAGTGACGAAAGCCGATTTAATAGCAATTCACCTGACAACATCCCTTGACTTTTACGTTGCTGTGCTTGGAGTTGTCAAGGCCGGTGCTGGTCTCCTCCTACTTCCCCAGGCCTCTTCGCAGACCATTCATTCCATTCTCTCTATGGCAAAATCCAGGTTCTGCATAGTCGATCACTTGACAGAAAAGAATCATTGCTTGGATTCTTTAAAGCACATCCAGCTGATTCACCTCTCTTATTCGCTGGATCTTTATTGTGAATTTAATATTCCCTATACCAATGAAGGGTCTGACGTTGTCTATGCTGAATTTTCGCTAATTGAAAATGACTTGACGGTAAACATTGTCATCTCACGTCAAAATGTGCAGAGCAGTGTCAATGCTCTTTCAGACATTTATCCAACGCCAACCGGTTCGAAAATGCTATCATGTCTTCAAGGATCAGGTCGTAAGTATTTGACATGACTCTATTTTCTACAATCTCTTTCTGACAAGAAAGCAGCATCAATTTGCCAGGCATTCTTTGCCTGGCACGCTGGTATGACGTTGTGCTCATCTACAGACTTAATCATGATGACTCGCATCGAGCAAACTTGCCAAGATTTGAACATCACGCACCTTCACTTACCTCCCATGCTGGCCTCTCGTATTGACCCACAAGCCGTTCCCAGTGTGCAGCATCTCCTCTCTTATGGCGAAGAAATGACTCCAAAGCTTCATCGAAAATGGGCCAGCAAATGTCTTCATCAAGCATACAGCAACCGTGCGCTGACTCACGAGTGTACCTTTTGTCCTAATATGCAAGCATCGACCTATGTTCGAAACATTGGTAGACCCCTGAAGAACACATCTACAATGATCGTGGCAGATAGTGCTTCACTAGGTTTTCTTCCACGCGGCGCCATTGGAGAGTTGTGCTTTGGCGGAGATCAAGTTGGGCGCTGTCTACCTGACTCCGAGCCATCAGTGGCTGAGCGATTCTTTGACCATCCTGAATTCGGTCGGATCTATAGAACGGGTGATTTTGGAAGGATGCTTCCTGATGGCACACTCATTCTTTCCCGAAGTTCTGGCCTTGCACAGTCGTACGCTCCGTCTTTTGATCTTGATGTAGTTGACCGTGCTCTCATGTCTTTAGAAATGGCTCAAGAGTCAGTGAGCATGATTCTGGATGAGCCAGAACCGCGCCAACAGCAATTGGCAGTATTTTGGGTCCCTTCAACGAAATGCTCAGATTCTGTGCAGATCGAGGAAGCTACGAAAGTTCTTTTCAAGGAACTCACCAAGAGACTTTCTTCTTCTAACCTTCCATCGTTTCTTGTTCTCGTGGATGCGATAGATCTAACTAAGTCTTATAAGACTGATTACCGTATGTTGAGGCAACGACTGGAACAGTTGACTACAAAGGAGCTTGCGATATTTTCACCAAAGCTCAATACCGATAATGCTAGTGGCAGTTTCACCGAACTTGAAAATACCATCTCTGCCGCGTTGTCAGCAGTAACTGACACTAACCAAAGCAACATCAGCAAGCACACGTCTTTCTACAGATTGGGTCTGGAATCTCTTTCTGCCATTTCCTTCTCGCGGAAGCTGCATGAGTCTGGATGTGGAAGACTTGATGTGTCCACAATCCTGCGCCATAGCTCCATTGCTCTACTTGCAGCCGTCATTTCTGCCAGAGCCAACGAGCAACAGCCCGAACAGGCTGTGGTGCCCGCGCTACCAACGGTGTTTGATGAAATTTTCATCCATCAAGTAGAAGATGAGTTCAAAACTGCAACCATAAATGTCCAGAGCATTTACCCTTGCACTCCACTCCAGGAGGCCATGCTTGCAGCTGAGTCTAGTGGTCATTCGGTTTATTTCAACCACCTCTTGCTTCTTGTACACACCGATGCCGAGGCTATGAGAGCAGCATGGGCTAAGATGATGCAAAGACAAGCCATACTTAGAACTTGTTTCGCGCAAACCAATGATAAGCGTTTTTCATTTGCTCAAGTTGTATTGGATACACCGGTTTTACCGTGGTGCCATATTGAAACTTCCTCTCCTGGACTTGAGAATGTTATCAAGGAGATGAAGGCCAACTTTGAGGGGCTTTCTCCTGTCAACGGCCAGTTGCCATACTCCCTGACTTTAATAACCGATTCCACTGCACAGAGGACGCTTCTTCTACTGTCCATTCACCACGCACTGTATGACGGGGAAGGTATAACTCAATTATTGCAGGAGTTGCAACTATTGCTTTCAAGCCAGGAACTGCCAGCAAGCACTCCATTCCGCAACTTCATCGATTACATGACCTCTGTTGACTATGGCTCATCGGACGAATACTGGGACCAGTACATGTCTGGTGTTTCACCGACCCTCCTTCCCACACCCGAGCCCGCAGCCAACGCAGATGATTCGGCATCACAGCAGATCCATATGTCTCTAGATGGCTCTTTTGTATCGTTCAAACAACAATGCAAGGACCTCTCCGTAACCCCCTTGAACATCTTCCACGCTGCATGGGCCAGACTCCTCTCTATATACACCGATTCCTCTGACGTCTGCTTTGGCAATGTCTTCAGCTGCCGAACTATTCCCTTGGAGGGCGCAGATCGAATAGTTGGGCCTTGCTTCAACACGCTCCCAATTCGAATCAAGTCCTCCTCGACTGCAACAAATAGTGAAATCATGAAACTGTCCCAAAAAAGCAATAATGACATTTTGCCTCACCAACTCAGCCCTCTACGGCGTATTCAGCGGCGTGTTCTTGGCGATGGTTCTCGCCTTTTCGACACGCTGGTCATCTTCCAGAACAGAAAGACAGATCTAGATCCCAATATCTGGGAAATTCTTCAGGACGAAGGAAACATGGGATTCCCCTTGATCTGTGAGATCATCCCCCACGAGTCTGCCGACAACATCCAAATCTGTCTCCACTTCCAAGTATCATATATCTCGCAAGCCGTGGCTGAGAACATTGCGCGGGACTTTGTGGCCCTTGTTGGACACATCATTCAATACCCATCTGCTCAGGCATCAGACAAATGGCTATCGGGGGCAGACATTCCTCCAGTCTTTAAACCGAAAGTATCCAAATGCCTGAACTCTGTTCAGTTCCTGACCAGATCTTGCCAAAAGCGCCGATGGTCTTATCAAGAGGAGATCGTTCGTGACCTTCTTTGCAAATTTTCTGGTGTCGATTCGGACAATGTGTTCCAAGACACGACGATCTTCCAACTTGGTCTGGATAGTATCAATGCTGTTCAGGTATCGGCGAAGCTGCGTGCATTAGGGTATAAGATCTCATCTGGTGATATTCTCGAGGTATGTCATATCCTTGGGGGTTTGGTTGCTGATCACGACTTCTATTCTTTACTTACTGATTTGTATCAGGCTGCTTCTATTGGTCAAATTGCTTCCCTTCTTACTTCCGCCGCCAAGATAGTTGAGGAAATCGAGTTTGACTTTGACCTTTTCCAAGCCCATCATTTGAAATCTGTTTGCGAACAACTTGAGATTCCTTCGCATAAAGTGCAGTCTTTGCGCCCTTGTACGCCAGTTCAAAACGGAATGCTTGCAATGTTTACCCATTCCCATGGTGAAGTATACTTCAATCGAATGGCCGTGAGGTTCCCGGCACATTTGGATAAGCACATTCTGAAAGAAGCCTGGTCCAAGGTCATGGCTCAGCATGACATGCTTCGAACAGGTTTTGTGCAATTGCGCGATCAGCATAATCCTTTTGCTATGATAACTTATCATGAGGATAGTGAACTACCATGGTGCGAAACCTCGATTTCCATGACAGACATTCCTGGTGTTCAACAAAAACACCCCTTAGAAAATCTCCACCAGCTTCCATGGAACGTTGAATTCGAGGCAGGCGAGAACACGAGTATTATGCATTTCTCCGCATTGCACGCAATTTACGATGCTCAGTCTCTGGCTACCATATTTGCGGACGTCAAGGCAGCATATGAAGGAAAAGCTCTGGCTACGCCGGCACCAGTCACCAAAACTCTTGGCCCTATCCTTCTTGAAAGCAAGAGCCAGAGCATATCTGCTCAATCCTTCTGGAAGGAACTGGCCCCAGAAGTGCAGCCCTCCAAATTTCCTGACTTGCATCCCATCCACACAGACGAGCGCACCTTGCACACCACCTCAATCCGTTGCGCACAGTCTCGTAAGGTTTTTGAAGATGCCTGTCGAGATATCGGTGTAACACTACAAGCAGCTGGGCAAGCAGCATGGGGTCGCTTGCTGTCTGCGTACACAGGCGAGTCCAATGTAACTTTTGGAACTGTGCTTTCGGGTAGGAACTTGTCCGCCGCTGCTCAACAGGCGGTATTTCCGTGTTTGGTCACAGTGCCGACGCCCCTGCGCATTGAGGGTTCCAACCGACAGCTTTTGGACCGTACGTTGAAGCGTAATGCTTCATTGGTGAAAAACCAGTTCGCACCTCTGTCGCATATCCAGCGTTGGGTAGGGAGCGATGAGCCACTTTTTGACACGCTGTTTGTTTATCAGAAGTTTACATCGGATGCTGATGGTGCTGGTGGCTGGGAGATTTTTGACGAGAAGACGAATATTGATGCAAGTAAAACAAGTTGACAGATGCTCCACAATTTTGCAGGACTCCTACTAACATTCTGTAGTATCCTGTTTCTATTGAGTTGATCCCACACTCGACAGATCTGCAGATTTCGCTGAGCTACCGGAGCGACATTGTTCCTACGGAGCAAGCAACGATCCTCTTGAACCAATTTGACAAATTCTTGCAGGATACAGTTTTTCGTCCAGATGCCAATTCCACCGGTCATGAGTCTGTGGGTAGTAGTCTGCTATCCATTACGACTGCCAAAGAAGCTCCAATTCCTAGCATGGTGTCTTTGTTGCATCAATTCGTCGAATCGAACGCGCTCAAAATCCCCGAGAAGATTGCGTTCGAATTTGCATTTGGTGACACTGCCGACAAACTCCAGAAGAAGACTTGGACTTACCGTGAGTTCAACAACTGCGGTAATCAAATTGCGCATTTCCTGCAGGCCAAGGGAGCCGTTCCTGGTGGAATTGTGGGAATATGCTTCGACAAGTGCCCTGAAGCCTCCATGGCGATTCTGGGTATCATGAAAGCAGGATGTGCATACTTGGCTATTGATCCTGGTGCTCCTATCTCTCGTAAGAAGTTCATGTTGGAGGATTCCGGTACCAACATCCTACTTTGCAATCAATCGAAGATGGCGGAACTAGGGGGACTGCCGGATGTTGACGTCCAGGCGCTTGACGAGCCTGAAATACTTGATGGGGTCTCAACTAGCGATGTCTCACTTTCCCGTTTGATTCAGCCAGATGATACTTGTTATTGTCTATACACCTCCGGTACAACCGGAACACCGAAAGGCTGCGAAATCACGCACGATAATGCTGTGCAAGCAATGCTGGCATTCCAACGATTGTTTGCAGGACATTGGGATGAAGAGTCTCGGTGGTTGCAATTTGCCTCTTTCCATTTCGACGTCAGTGTTCTGGAACAGTACTGGAGCTGGAGTGTTGGAATTTGCGTTACCTCCTGTCCACGAGATCTGCTGTTTGAGGATCTGACTGGAACGATACAAAAGCTTCAAATTACGCATATTGACCTGACGCCCAGTTTGGCAAGACTAGTTCATCCCGATGAAGTTCCGTCCCTTTGTCGTGGAGTCTTCATCACTGGCGGAGAGGCATTGAAACAAGAAATCCTTGATACCTGGGGCAAGCATGGTGTTATCTACAATGGATACGGGCCTACCGAAGCTACTATCGGATGCACCATGCTCCCACGGATGTCTGCCAACGACAAAGCCTCCAACATCGGGCCCCAGTTCGACAACGTGGGATCGTATATTTTCAGTCCCGGTACGACGAACCCAGTCCTACGCGGCAGCATAGGTGAACTCTGCGTCTCGGGACCTCTCGTTGGAAAGGGCTACCTGAATCGAGCGGAGCTCACTAAAGAACGATTCCAAGAGCTCCCCGAGTTCGGCGATCGTATCTATCGCACTGGCGATCTTGTGAGGATTTTGCACGATGGAAGCTTCCAGTTCCTAGGTCGTATTGATGACCAGGTCAAGCTCCGCGGACAACGACTAGAGATTGGAGAAATCAACGAGGTCATCAAACAAGCCACGTCTGAAATGAACGAGGTTGCTACCCTGGTCATCACGCACCCCAAACAATCGAAGGATCAGCTTGTCTCCTTTTTTACTACGGTCACTGCAGACAAGAGCTCCCGAGCTATTGACGCTGGCGTCCGATCTTCAGAAGATTGTCGCTCCCTGCTGTCAAAGATCAAGGATGCTTGCCGCACTCATCTTCCTGGGTATATGGTGCCTACACATATTATCCCGATGACCTGCTTCCCGCTCTCTGCCAATAACAAGGCTGATATGAAAGTCTTGAAGAAGATCTATCAGGAGCTTTCTTTGGAGGATATTCAGAAATTGAGTTCGTTGAGTGCTGGCCAGCCTACTGACAGTTTCCAGGAACAGAAGATCATATCTGTTTTGGCTAGGTTTATTGGCTCTTCTAGGGAGAAGATCTCATCATGGTCCAGTATCTACGAGCTTGGTCTGGATTCTATATCTGTTATTGCTTTCTCGAGGAGTCTTCGGGAGGCTGGTTTTTCTCAGGCTCAGCCATCGATCATCATGAAGTGCAAGTCTGAAATTCTCGATGTTGGCTAATAAAATAATTGACTAACAATCCACAGATCCTACAATTTCCGGAATGGCCTCGGCTCTACTCGGGTCTATTTCATCTTCTGCCTCTTTAGAAACCATACAACGAAATGCCAAGCAAGGCATTGAGGCTTTTTCTCACAAGCACGCCCACGCTATCAATGAGCTTATTGGGGCCATCGACGGTGAAGTCGAAAAGATTGCGCCTTGTACCCCGCTCCAGGAGGGTATCATATACCACTACCTGTCGAGTAGCACGCCACTGTACTGCTCCTCATTCACTTTCGAGCTCCATCCTCCCGTCAACCTCGAAAATTTGCGCACAGCTTGGGGTCAAACCCAGAGAGATGTGCAAATGCTGCGTGCTAGGCTTTTGCCATCACCGGACGGCTACGCCCAAGCTATCATGAAGAAAGATTGCCTTCCTTGGTTCCTTGCTACGGTCGACACCAAGGAGGAGATTGATGATTTGCGTAAACAACGACATGAGCACTGGACTACCCAGCTCGGCAGTCTTTTATCGAATCTGTGGGAAGTTGGAATCATCTCTTCCCCTGAGACGTCAGTCATGCTTTTAAACATCTTCCATGCTCTCTACGACGGTAACAGCCTGGCCCTTCTTCTTGAATCGGTTGCCCAAAATTATCTTGGCCAGAGCAAGAGTTCGCAGTCAGTCCCGGGGTTCTTGGATGTTTTACACTTGGGTCCCCTTTGTAAAGACCCTGCTGCAGAGACATTCTGGAAAGAGCATCTTGCCGGCTGTCGTGATCACGCTTTTGTCGAGAACGACCAAGTTGACAGCGCGCCAATCCTGCTCACAGTTCAAATAAATGGGATAGATCAGGTTGACCATCTTCGCCGGTTTCTCGGTGTAACAGAGCAATCTGTTCTCCATGCCTGCTGGCTTCTCACTCTTCAGCAGCAATACTCATTTGTGCCATCGCTCGGTATCATTGCTTCGGGCAGGACAATTGATATATCAGGCATTGGTGACGTGATTGGACCGCTTTTCAATACGGTTCCCAGCAACGTACAGTTGCGTGGCCTGGAGTCTTGGTCTGATGTTGCTCGGGGCTGTCATAAATACCACGTGTCCATGATTCCTTTCCAACACACCGCACTGCGAGACATTGTGAAATGGCTCGGAAAGAACCCCAATGAGCGACTCTTCAACTCTTTGTTTGTCTTCCAGAGAGAAGATGAAAAGACCGAATCCCTCACAAAAGATATTTGGCGTGCACTCGACTCAGAGGCCCAACATGAGTACCCTCTGGCCTTTGAGATTGTGCGTAATGGCAACCAATCTCTGTCAGCCACTGTTGCTGCAAAGAGTCACGCGGTATCATTAGAGGACGCTCAGCAGATGTTGTATAAGTTCGAGCAAATTCTTTTTGATTTTGCACAAGACCCCAACAAAGAGTTACCCAAGATCAACGGAGTTTCTCTCACACAAGTCGTGGCGAACGGTGAATCACATGGTCTCCAGGAGTCTCTGACAACACTAGAACATACCAATGGTGAATGTGCCAAAGGCTCTTTGTTCGAATGGACTTCCCAGGCTTGCACAATCCGCGACGTGATTGAAACCCTTGCAGAAGTGGAGCCGCAATCCATCAGCGAGAACACATCGATCTTTGAAGTTGGACTTGATAGCATTGATGCAATCAAAATTTCCTCGCGGTTGAGCAAAGCCGGCATCAAACTTCCCGTGAGCTCCATCATGCGCCATCGTACCGTGAAGGCCATGAGCGAGCAGATCTCAATGCCAATTAACTGTCTTAAAGATAGGAAATTAACATTGCTCAATCAGCTAGAGAAATCTTTGGGCAAGTTCCTTGGAGCTGAAGGCCTTCTCCCCCCGAGCGCGGCTCGAATCCTACCAGCTACACCCATCCAAGAAGCTATGGTAGCAGAAATGACCGCCTCTGAGTATAAGCATTATTATAACCACGAGATGCTCGAGCTTGAGCCAGATGTGGACATTGAAAGGATGGAACGGGCATGGAGAGCTGTCGTTGGAGCCCACCCTATTCTCCGTACCTCATTCGTAGAAGTCTGGGATCCGGAGATTCCTGTGTCATACGCCCAAATAGTGCATGACGAGGATCACATCGATCTTCAAACTGTCAATCTGCACGGAGTCTCCGTGGAATCCATCATGGAGACTCAGCGTTCAAGGGCCCGCAATGAACTGACAAGTAGCCCTTTATTCTCTATCACCATTGCGGTGGATGGAGATAGACGGTACCTTGTTTTGTCGATTGCGCATGCCCTCTATGATGGCTGGTCAATTAATCTGCTCCATGAAGATGTGGCCAAATCCTATGCTGGGGCAGAGTGTTTCCGCCCGCCAGCCGATGACATTCTTGAGCAAATTATTGCTTCTTCTGGCGATGAAGCACTCAGGTTCTGGCGAGCAACGCTATTCAACTTCACTCCTGTTGTATTCTCGCCTATGAAGCATGCTGATAATAGCTCAGCAGTTGTTCACAGAGCAGAGCAATCGTTCTCCGTTCCACTGTCCAAGGCAGAGACGTTCTGCAAGCGCCATGGCATTACTCTCCAGGCCCTTGTGGTCAGTTGTTGGTCTCTTCTCCTTGCTACACATGTCAAGAAGCTAGATGTGGTATTTGGACTTGTCCTTTCTGGTCGGAATGTGGCTGGCTCTGAGCATGTGATGTTCCCGACCATGAACACTGTAGCTATGCGAGTTATTCTTCATGGGACGCGCGTAGAATTGGTGCAATATGTGCAGGAGGCTCTCCTGGCTATGTCGGAGCATCAGCATTTCCCACTTCGGCGCGCCAGACCAGATACAGGGTCGCGGGCGTTATTTGATACGCTTTTCATGTATCAGAAGAGACCGGTGGAAAATGTTCAGGCCGGGCCTGGGCCGGTTTTGTATAAATCTATTGGTGGGGCAGCTGATGTTGAATACCCTGTATGCGCTGAAGTTGAAGGTGTCGGGAAAGAACTGGTTGGGCGAGTTGCGTGTCGTGGAAATGTTGTTGGGGATCAAGATACTTTTACACTGTTGGGGCAGATAGGCAGTATCCTTTCGTCTATCATCGATGGCCCATATGAACAGACAGTCGAATTCACCAGCGAAGGAGCGAAGATTTGTGGAAGTACGGCTTTCCATGATGAGTCCGGACAAGATATCAAGACTGATGCAGTGCCCCGGACACTCAATCACGCACAATGGTTGCCCATTGAGTCGAAGATCCGCAAAATTCTTTCCATTGCATCCGGGGTACCTGAAAACTCCATTGACAAGAGCTCCACGATTTTCGAGCTTGGTCTGGACAGCATCAGTGCCATCAAGGTGGCTGCACTCCTGAAGAAAGAGTCCGTCAAGCTCGCGGTCAGTGACATGCTTCGGGCTGGTACCATCGAAAACATGGCCAAAGCAGCCAACAGCAACCAACAAGAGCTCTCGCTGACAGACATATCGATCATTCTCCACGAATCACTCGATGGCATCGATGTCGCGGGACTGCTACAGTCGCATGGTATTGGTCTGGAACGGGTGCGGAAAGTGTTCCCCGCAACTGCAGGGCAGACCTACTTCCTCTCAATGCACATCCTCAATCCCGAGGTATTCTATCCTGAGTTCTACTATGTGACATCAAGACAATTGAGCCCTGAGGTACTCGATCGGGCCTGGGCTCGGGTCATAGACCAAACCCCAATACTTCGAACTACTTTCGTTCCCACTGTCGACTCTCGGCTATTGCCGTATATGCAGATCGAGTTTAAGGCTGTGCAAATTCCTGTGATCTGGCATTCCAAATTTGGTCGGCAACTTGTTTCAAGAAGTCTCACGCAAGAATTTGGGGCAGTGCCGCTCGCATTGCATGCCTGTCAAACGAACAAGGGGACGGCGCTTATTCTGCAAATCCACCATGCATTGTATGACGCTGTCAGTCTACCCCATATTTTAGACAGACTTGCTACACACTGCAGTCAAGAGGAGGTTGCCAAGCCAGACCCCGGCCTTGATCTCTCACGGCTCGTGGCATTCCAGCATGTTCATTCGCCCGTGGATGTCCGACGGCAATTCTGGCAAAAGTATCTAGGCCAGATCCCAACAGCGGTAAAACGAGGGGATGGCTTCGGCCCTGTGCAACATTACTACCGACCGGGTCTGGTCTCAAATATGACCGGTGTTGAACAGGTTGCTAAGCGCCAGGGCCTGAGCATCCAGACCGTCTTTTTGGCCGTCTATGCTCGAGTGCATTTGCAGGAATTCGGTGCCGCTGAAACCGTCGATGACGCAGGGTCTCACAAGCGATTAACTGTTGGACTGTACCTTGCCAATCGATCTCATTCCATCGAGGGTCTAGCCGAATCTGTAATTCCTACCGTGAACATTGTTCCACTACGGCTGGATGACAAACTCAGCGATTCCAACGAGACCCTCCTTAACGCCGCCCGGAGAATCCAAACCGAAATCCACGAGATCAGCCGACCGGAATACTCGGGTGTTTCTCTCGTGGAAATTGCCGAATGGACCGGCGTTCGAATCGACACCTGCGTCAATTTCCTGCGACTCCCTGAGCAAGAATTGAAAGCACCCAGCAACGGTGACCAAGGAAAGTTTTCTCTCACAGCTATTCAACGCGAGGAGTTTGACGATCTTAGCGGGGCAAGCCCGGAAAAAGACCGAAGTGCGATTAATGGCAATGGTGTAGCGCCACCGGGTGCAGCCGAGACAAGCCCGGGCCTCAAGCACCCAAGCATCTCAACGGCTACTCAGAATATCTTCCAGGTAAGTGGATCAAGATGCACATCACTTGTGCATCTGTTAACGGTGATCGATTTTTTGCACTTGCTTACATTTACAACAGCCTACGATCGATGTGGAAGCTGCCATTCGGAATGGTCGGTTAGACCTTGGGCTCTTCGCACCGGAATCCCGCCTTGACCAAGACACAGCAGCGAGTATGATCGGTGCTATGCGACGGGAGATGTCTGCATTGGTGACAGGCTTTGAATTGATCGAGAATGTCTAGTTATGCTAGGGATGAAAGAGAGGGGAGAGCAGAGTATCCCGGGGGTGATTCCAAGTGAGTATGGAGTAAACGATTTTTGGTGGATCCTTTCTTTCTTTCTTTCTTTTTTTTCGATTTCTTGCCATTTCTATGGCTCACAAACTTGTGCATATGAGGCGTTGGACGTGTATAGTTTGCTTTTCTCAATCAATGTTGTATTGAAATGCTAATTTGACGAGTGACGGCGGGACCCACGGACGGGACGGGCCCGGGGATCTTTTTTTATCTTTTGAGAACTGCAGGTTTTCTAAGAGTATCATAGTAGTAGATGTATATGTTGTATATTCCACTTTGTATCCTCTTATAGTGACCGAGAGAATTTCTTTTTAATATTCCCCTCCTTTAGCACCAATCGGACCCCTAGTTTTTTTTTTTTTCTCGCATTCCTCCGAGAATAGGCCTGATGAATCAGATGTGGGCTTTCAGACAGTGAGAGTGAGCGAAGGGGGGGGGGTGGTTCGCGTGGCCTATCAGTTGGAACTGGAGTAGTTTTTTTTTTTTTCTTTTTGAAGAAGTTCAGGATATATGCTCTGTACGGAGTACTCCGTACAGTATTAAGACAATAACTTGTCTACCTTAATTTTTTTGGGAGAAAAAAAAAGGAACGGGGTCCAATAGGCTGAAATATCCCCCTCCCTGTGTTTTTTTTTGGGTCAGGGGCCGTGCAAATGCACCTAGATATACAAACACAGATGGGTTGATTTTGATTTTGATTTTGATTCTTTAAATTAAGTAAATCTGATTCGAGTCTTTTCATAAATCGTTGGATTTCTTGTTTATTGCTTACCTAATATTTTTCTCTATCACGCGTCACCCTAATCCACATCGGGCATCCAACGATCAACAACGCGACTGCGCGTTAATCGCTTTGGACTTTATTTCTATACCCTCAAACACCCTGACCACCCCGACCACCCCGACCACTCTGACCACCCTGAACACCCTGACCACCCTGAAAACCCCTGAACATGAAAAACCTGAACATTGGAACAGGCTCCTTATAAACATTCTCAATCCCCCCCCCCCCTTGGTTTCAAACAAACACTCGATCCCGGTCACATACCAATACCCAACCCCTCCTCGATTTCCGCCCTTTTTGCCCTCGTGGGCTGACATCACCTTTTGTATTGGGGGATTTCACCCCTTGCAACCTTTATCTTTTTGGATCAAAGGATTCCAACACGCCCTTCTCCTTTGACAGTGTTAATTCAAACTGAAACATTCCACACCTATCGCGCCTGACCTGGTTATCCTCAGGTATCAAAGCGCATCAAAGTGAAACATTGCAGATACGCGTTGTGTTTGTCCCTAGGGCGCATGGGAGACATTGAATTCCTTGGAATTCGCGATGGAAGTGGTGTGACTCAGCTGAATTTGCCATTTGCACCTGCCCAAAACATTCCAGTCCCTGTGCCTTCCTTGGGGTATCATATCCTCAAATACCTGTGCTCCTTGGCTTCCTCTCGTTCCCTGTCTGGGCGCGTTGTTGATCTAAACGCGTCAACCTCGAATCCTTGAGAAGCTCCCTAAATCTCTCGAGTGTTGAATCTCGAATCATTGAGGGATCTTTAGATCTTCTTTTTAAGATCTCCAGAGCGCATCTGGTTGTGACGCGCTCTTCATTCTGGACTCGTTGCGCGGCCACGTTGACACATTCCCCCGATCATGGTTGCAACGTTTTCGCCGCACCGGGACTCTGGTGGCACACTTCATCTGTCACCGCACTCGGGACTCCATCACGTTGACGCCAGCACTGCGATCCGCCAACTGAGGCGTTCACTTTCGCGCTCCCCCTCTAAGAGTTCAAACTTCTTCCTCAACCCGCGTAATCACTCCCCTTCCAAATCCGCTTACATCTATTCTCCATTGTCGCCCTCACGGCGCGCCTCACAGAACAATTTTGTTCTCTTCCCATCTCATCAATCTCATCAGTCGCCTCTCGCTGTCCCTTACCCGCCCAGCGCGAAAATCAGTAGGCCGGCCATGCGTCGACGCACATCACCCCGCAGTCCGGCCAAACGCGTTTTGAGTGTTTCGACGGACAGTGGCAACGCGACTCCAACCCAACCTATCTCTTTACCCTCTGGTGAAGAGAATGATTTGACTCTTGACGACCTGGACGCGCCAGAGCTAAGTACCACCCCAGACAGTCCTTGTTTTATCCACACTACTTCTGCCCCTCTGGGTGAATCGACTTTTGCGCCGCGATCAACGTTGTCGCGCATTGAAAAACGACGCAGCGGGACCTTTGGTAGCTTTGCGACTGGCAGTCCCTTGAAGCGCAGCGATGGGATTATGAACTTGGACCAAGTATCGCGAGGCAGCCCCTCTGCAAAGCGACGCAGCGTGCACACTCCCACTTTTTCGGCCGAGTTTAGCATTTTTGACAACGAAGTCGAGAACACTACTCCAGAGGGGTCTCCGACACGCAGCGAAATCCCCTCTTTTCCCACGCCTGTCCAACCCCACAACCCATTTGCGACAATTCCTAAGCGCTCATGTTCTCTGCGACGCTCAACCCTACAGCAGCGCGGCGACCGACCACTCTTTGGTCGACCCAGGGCCATGGATGATTCAACCGACGCATCACCACCTGAGACGCCAGTGTCTGTGAGACCACGAACGTCGTTTGATAGCAGCCTATTCCAGCCCGGGAGCGGAAACATTTTCTCCCCCAGGCCGCCAGCCAGCCCTCTTTTCTCCAACTCGCCTGTCCACCTTCCCGCCAACCCCTCTGTCAACCCTACTCAACCCCCTCGACCCGCTGCGCATCCTCTCTCCCGTACTATCACTCAATCCTCGTCTGGGTCGAGTATTGAAGACTCGCCCACGCATGAACCAGTCCGCAAGCCCGAGGGCCGACGAACCCTGTTCAACTTCTCCAAATCTCTCCCCGCTGGGGCTACTCGTCCTGTCCCCGTGAATCGGATCACACGAGAAGACACATCGGACACGTTTGCAACCCCGGATAACTTTCGGCTAGTGAAGCCTCTACCCGCGGCATTCATGTCCACTGGACTCATCTCCAAGAAAAACCGCAATGCGGAGGAGAACCCCGGATTTAACAAGAGCATGCCCGATACACCATGCAAACGGCCTGTCAATCTTTTCGCCGCGGGTCCAAATCCCGCAGACCGACTGTTCGACAAGTCACGTCTGGCTCATCAATCAGATGCTGTTTCAGCCTCCCCATTCAACCCACCTACGACCTCACGTCCCAAGCCAAGTCCCTTCACTCGGGGAATGGGTATCTTCGGTGACAGCTTCAATCGTCCCGAGACCTCGCGGCGTGGAAGTTTTGCTAGCGTTGATGGTGATGAATTGATCCTCGCCCAATCGCCCTCCTCCCGCCATGACAGTCAGCCTCTGAACGATGACTTCCCTCCCACTCCGACCAAACAGCCCTTTCTTCCCTCTCGCACCTACCCTCCCGCCACTTCTCAGATCGCGTCTCTGGAACGACTATCCGAAACGGCGAGTCCGCTGCACGAGAAGTTTCTTCAAGCATCACCTCACACTCCCCGTGACCAATACTTCCCTCCCGACCCCAGTGGCTTATCGATCTCCGTGCCAAATGATCATCAGCGTGTGCAGGAGCATGATCTTCCAGCCACTCCAACTGGACCGAGAGACTCTTGGTCATCGTTCCGACGGCCCAGTCTTCAAATTAGCGGCTACCACGTTCCAGATGTGGACCCCACTCTGACATCCCGCTTTGACTGCGTGGAGCTTATCGGAACCGGCGAGTTCTCTCAGGTCTTCCGTGTCGCAGAGCCTCATGACGCATCCTTTCCGTCTGTCTTCTCTCTTCCATCAAGCGAACCAAGATCGCCGACGTCCCTCCCCCACCAGGTGTGGGCTGTCAAGAAGAGCAAGCAGCCCTATCTGGGGTTGAAGGATCGCGAGCGCCGTATTCGTGAAGTCGAGGTTCTCAAGGCGTTGACCAACTGTGACCATGTTATTTCATTTATGGACAGCTGGGAGAACAACGGTCACCTATACATCCAAACGGAGTTCTGCGAAGAGGGTAGCCTGGATGGTTTCTTGGCCCAAGCCGGACTCAAAGCCCGACTTGACGACTTCCGGATCTGGAAGATTTTGCTCGAAATGTCTCTGGGACTCAAGCAGATCCATGACGAAGGGTTCATACATCTTGACCTAAAGCCTGCTAACATTCTGGTCACCTTTGAGGGTACTTTAAAGATTGGTGACTTTGGCATGGCGACACGCTGGCCTGCAGAGGACGGTATTGAGGGCGAAGGCGACCGCGAATACATTGGACCTGAGATTCTGATGGGCCGATTCGACAAGCCTGCCGACATCTTCTCACTTGGTCTTATCATTTTTGAGATCGCCGGCAATGTGGAACTTCCCGACAATGGTGTATCTTGGCAGAAGCTACGCAACGGCGACATGAGCGATGTGCCCAGCCTTACCTGGAGCTCGGAGACCAGCATCTTCCGCGATGCAACTGGAAACCCTATCTCTGAAGGGTCGTCTTTCGAGGACCTGTGCACATCCGATCTGGGTGACAACGACTTCGGCGATGACTTCCCGACAAGTCGTCAGCTGAGCAACCCCAAACCACAGCGACTCGCACGAAGCGGGGAGCTGATTGATCCACCCAGCTTCATGGTCGATGCCACCCACCCACAGGCATTGGATGGCATCGTTCGATGGATGATCTCCCCCGACCCTCAGAACCGTCCCACGGCTGGCCAAGTCCTGGAAACTTATGGGGTGCAATTTATTAATCAACGGCGCCGCGCTGGCGCCACCGTCTTCGAGGGTAACTGGGGCCCCGCTGATGAGATCTTGGCCGAAGATGCTGAAATGATCGACGTGTAAAATATCCCTTTGACTATTGTGCATTCGGAGGGTGTTGTGTCTTTTTCCTTTCTTGTCCTTCCTTTATTTTTCCTTTTGTCACCTTTTCCCGGCGTTCTACCTGGGAGCATTTCTCCTTTTTTTGGGGGTCCCATCTTTGATGCCATGTTTTCACGTCACGACATTATCCCCCTCCACCTCATGCTTCAACGGTTGGGGCTGGGCTTTCGGGCGTTTTCGATCCATCCGGTTTGGATCTGGGCGTTACCTTGAGCAGTTCACGGATACCACAACTGGAGTTTGCAAATGGTTCTTCGCCCTGTTTGGCGAATCTTTTTTATTTTTATTTTTTTCTTTTTTTTCCCCTTTGTACGATTCACTACCTAGCGTTACGAGATGCCAGGAATCTACCAATCTCTCAGGATGCTTGCTTCTGGGACTGGTCACGGTCATTCTGGGAATCTGCTGTGTTCGTTCCAACCTGTCTTCTATCGTCCTGTCCTTGGAATCAACTGCTCCAAGGCGATTGTTCTTCCCCAGGACTGATATCTGGTCGGACAGCATACCCGGTAGGTCTGGAAACCTCACTTGCTATCTTTGCTTTTTCTTTTGCTTTTTCTGATGATGAATGTGTGCCCTCTGGGCAGTGATGACTCCCTATCCATTTTCTTTGAGCGTGATCTTCTCTGCTAGTTTGGTGTCTTTGGTTGAATACCTGGGTTCCATATCTGTATAGCAACTGTGGAATTACGAATTGAAATGATATCCTACAAACCTCTTGCTTCAATTGTAGATCTTTTTCCAATTAAATATCGGTCGGAGGCCACTCATTGCGGTACTTTACCCTGCCCGGGGTATCAAATTTTAACTCTTTGGATGATGGGCTTTCTAAGTTTGTATCATTCTGTAGTTTGACTTGTTGTTTTGAAAATTGAAACATCACATATATAAAAAGACACTCTGGAGGGTCTATACGCCTCGGTAAGATCCAAATATATTTTTGGATTGCCACCCGTGAGATTTCTTGGCATTTGGCTCAAACTTGTCCAACTCCTCCAACTATCTTTATCTTTATTCTCGAAACTTCATACTTTGCTACTTCCCAAGTCCTTTCCCCTGGTGTTGAACTTGGTTGATGAGACCTCTGCGTTCTATGCAAGGTGCACTGTCGACTCTAGGACCCCGACTCACAATAACCAAACCTTACCTCTCCACACGAAGAAGCTCCTCCCTAGACAACCATTTTGCAATTTCTCCATTCCAATAATAATAGTCCATATCACGCACTATGGAAAATAGGATCTTTGTATCGGACAATCTCCTCCGCCTTACGGGTGCGTCAGAGCCCACCATCATCGATTTCGTGCTTGCGACCGCCAGCTCAGCCAAGTCGACCTCCTCCCTCCAAGATACCCTCGTGTCTTTCCTGGATGGCGTAGACGCTAGCTCAGCTGAAATTGGTCTCTTCGCCCGGGAGCTTCATGCCCGCATGGGCAAGGGCGCACAGCCCAGTGCGTCTACCTCCAAACCCGCGACGAGCAAGGAATCTACGAAAAAGAAGTACCGTCTGGTGGATATGGGCGAAGACCAGCCAGAGCCTGCCCCCTTGCTAGGACCCACCAATATCGAGGCAGACCGAGAGCGACGGAGGAGACGGGACAGAGACAGCGACAAGGACAGGACCAGTAGCAGGCGAGACCCCGAGCCTCGGAGTCGCGGGGAAAAGGATGACAGCCGCAAGCGAGACCGAAGCCGCGATGCAGAGAGCCACGATAGGCCTCGGACGAGGAAGCTCCGCAAGAAGGGCTCTCAGGACTTCGACGATCGATGGGGTGACGAAGAGATACTCGAAGAGGAGATGTCCCCGCAGGAATTCGAAGTATCCCCCTCGAAGCGCACACGACTCGACGATGGTTCCGCATCTCCCAATCCCACGTCACCGGCTGACGATGTCGATATCGACCCTAAGACCAAGCAAGAGATCGACCGCCAACGGGATCTTCGTGAACGAGATGAGTTTGCCAAACGGCTGGCCAACAGGGAAAGTAACAAGTCGAAGAAGATTGTAGAGGATCGGACGCGTGACAGCGAGGCTGCACGACGACGTGCACTGGGCGATGATGCCAGCGCGCGGGCTTCGACGATGCCCGATCTGCGAGAAAGATCTCGACAGGAGTACTTGAAGAAGCGTGAGACAGAACGCTTAGCACTGCTGCGAAGACAGGTTGTAGAGGAGGCCGCGGAGTTGCGTGAGAACCCGAATTTGTCTCGCAAGGAGAAGGAGGAGTTCGCGCGCAACCGGGAAGTCCTTCGTCTCGCCGAGGAACGGCTTCGGATCGATGACCACCGTGATGGTTATCAGATGCCATCTGACTACATTACGGAAAAGGGGAAGATCGACCGGAAGAAGAAGGAAGAGGCTCTATACAAGCGGTATGTCGAGCGTGATGAGCTAGGCCAGGAGCGATTCGTCACGGAGCACGAGGAGTGGGAGCTGGAGCAGGCGGCCAAGGCCAAGGCACAGATCAAAAAGGCCGAGTTCGTGGATGAGGGAGACTATGAATATGTCTTCGACGATTCACAGCAGATCAACTTTGTCATGGATGCCAAACTCGAGGGCACGCAAAAACCACTGACGAAGGAGCAGCTGCGGTTCAAGGAGCAGGTCGATGCAGCGGAGAAGAAAGCCCTCTCGATGGAGGAAACACGCAAGAGTTTGCCCATTTATCAATTCCGTGATCAGATCATCCAGGCTGTGGCACAGCATCAAGTTTTGATTATCGTTGGTGAAACTGGTTCTGGAAAGACCACACAGATCCCACAATACCTCCACGAGGCCGGTTATACCAAGGATGGCCTCAAGATCGGATGCACGCAGCCGCGACGAGTGGCTGCCATGAGTGTTGCTGCTCGTGTGGCGGATGAAATGGGCACGAAGATTGGAAATGAAGTTGGTTATGCCATCCGATTCGAGGATAACACCAGCGACAAGACCATCCTCAAGTACATGACCGATGGCATGTTGCTGCGAGAACTGTTGACCGAGCCGGACTTGAGCCAGTACGCGGCCTTGATGATTGATGAGGCGCACGAACGGACGGTGCCAACAGATATTGCTTGTGGTCTGCTTAAGGATATTGCCAAGGCACGACCTGATCTGAAGCTGCTCATTTCTTCGGCGACAATGGACGCGCAGAAGTTCCAGGAGTATTTCGACAATGCGCCCATTTTCAATATTCCTGGTCGCCGATACCCCGTCGACGTGCATTATACTTCACAGCCCGAAGCCAACTACCTTGCCGCAGCCATCACAACGGTATTCCAGATCCACGTCTCGCAAGGCCCAGGAGATATCTTGGTCTTCTTGACTGGACAAGAAGAAATCGAGGCCGCTGAGCAAAGTTTACAGGAAACAGCTCGAAAACTTGGGAGTAAGATTCCGGAAATGATAATTGCTCCTATCTACGCCAACCTGCCGTCCGAACTACAGACTAAGATTTTCGAGCCTACTCCGCCTAAGGCGCGAAAAGTGGTGCTTGCCACTAATATCGCTGAAACTAGTTTGACTATCGATGGTATTGTCTACGTGATTGATCCCGGATTCGTTAAGGAGAACGTATTCAACCCACGCAGCGGAATGGAGAGCTTGGTCGTGACACCGTGTTCACGTGCCTCGGCGAACCAACGAGCCGGCCGTGCCGGACGTGTTGGGCCGGGCAAGTGTTTCCGCCTGTACACCAAGTGGGCGTACTACAACGAGCTGGAAGAGAATACCACCCCCGAGATTCAACGTACCAACTTGAACGGAGTGATTCTGATGCTGAAGTCACTGGGCATTGACCAATTGCTCGACTTCGACTTCATGGACCCACCGCCGGCGGAGACCATCATTCGTGCTCTGGAGCAGCTGTATGCGCTCGGAGCACTCAATGACCGAGGCGAGCTGACCAAGGTCGGCCGGCAGATGGCTGAGTTCCCAACAGACCCGATGCTCGCTAAGGCGATCCTTGCTGCCGACAAATACGGCTGCGTAGAAGAAGTCCTGTCGATCGTGTCGATGCTCGGTGAAGGTAGCGCACTCTTCTTCCGACCCAAGGACAAGAAGATCCACGCGGACAGTGCGCGTAACCGGTTCACCATCAAAGACGGCGGTGACCACCTGACGCTACTGAACGTCTGGAACCAATGGGTCGACTCGGACTTCAGCACGATCTGGGCGAAGGAGAACTTCCTGCAGCAGCGCAGTCTGACGCGAGCGCGCGATGTGCGCGACCAGCTCGCCAAACTGTGCGACCGTGTCGAGGTCGCTGTCAGTACCTGTGGATCTACGAATATTCAGCCAATCCAGAAGGCCATCACGGCTGGGTTCTTCCCCAATGCGGCACGACTCCAGCGCGGCGGTGACAGTTACCGCACAATAAAGAATGGGCAGTCCGTGTACTTGCATCCGTCTAGTACGCTGATGGAGATTAATCCGCGCTGGGTCATCTACTTTGAGTTGGTCTTAACCAGCAAGGAGTATATGCGTAGTAATATGCCGTTGCAGCCAGAGTGGCTGGTTGAGGTTGCGCCGCATTACTATAAGAAGAAGGACTTGGAGAGTCTGGGGCTGGATCGCAAGATGACGAAGGGGCAGGGGGTGGCTGGGGAGAAGAGTCGGGAGTAGAGAAATATGCTGATGTACAGATCAACTCTTAACATATAAAACAAGTCTTGAATAGCCTCATGTCTTCTGGATTAAAAAAAGGACACCTCAGGCACCTATTTCTCAACCAATCACCGCCCGGGCAATTCCAACGCAAATCCGTTGAACCTCGGTTTCTCCGCTTTCCCCCACACTTTCTCGTTTGATGCGTCCCGACGTTTCCCTCTCCTTTTTTTTCTATTTCTTGTTGTCCATCTATCTTCCTTACACATTCTTAATTCTCAAAAATGTCCAAAACATTCACCCCCGCCGAGGTGGCCTCTCACACGACCGCCGATGCGGGCTTCTACATCATTATCGACAGCAATGTCTACGATGTAACCAACTTTATCGACGAGCACCCCGGCGGTGCAAAAATCCTTAAGCGTGTAGCGGGCAAGGATGCCTCAAAGCAGTTCTGGAAGGTAGTTATTCCTTTCTGATTCTTTCTACTAAAAAAAAAAAAACAAGATGTTGATATGATCGGTTATCGGCCGAGTCGGCCATTGCAAACACAGTATGCAACTAACGTCGCTTAGTATCACAACGAAACCGTGATGAAGAAGTATTCGCCCAAGCTAAAGATCGGCGAAGTCAGGGAGGCCGCGAAGCTGTGAATCATTTATTGAAAAATTGAAGGAAATAGATTTGATCGTTTTGGGGATCTACCCCGGTCAACTACACATTACAGAAAATATCACGATATTGTTTTTACTCCGCTAGCGAACAATATACCCGTCACTTCATTTTTGATACTTTTGCGATGTGGACTCCATCTTACTGCCTGGGCAGCTGAATAGAACTAAAAACATACAGAAGGCTTCATTCTTAACTCATAACAAAACTTGTGCATTATGTTCGGCAACAAAAACACGGAAGATTAGTACATTTTGTCCAGGATCTGCTGGGCTGATAATTGGAGGGTCAAAAAAGAAACGCCCTTCTCCCTCCCGCTGCACGAGAAATAGTGTTTAAAATCAAAGTGGTATCAACTCGAAAGCGACAAATGGTAAATGACAGGTAGATGTGTGAGGCGAGTGAAGCAGAGAAAGAAAAATTAGTAGGTGACAGTGACAAAATAGAAGATATGGCCCGTGACAATGTATGGAGACAGGCCACGGAAAGACGTGGGCAGTGAGCCTGTACTAGAAAGGTGTGTTTTTGGAAAGAAGGAATAGGTACATGATAAGTGACAAGTAAGAAAAGAGGGCAAGCGAAAGTCATCCATTCTAGAATTAGAATTCACGCCATTGATCTTCAGGTCGATATGAGAATTCGCTGCCATTAACAGAAGGCGTGTCAAACTCATACTGCCTCTCACTCCACTGACTGGAAGTCTTGCGGGTATGGCGTTGGCGGGGAGGCGCACGGGGGCGATTCATCTCTTCTGCGTGGTGATCAATGAAAGCCTCCATGCGTACAGTGCCTATATCGAACATGTTGCTGCCGGCCACACTGGAAGCACGGCCACTCGTCTCGGAAGTCCGTAGGCTGATACTGCTGTGGCGACTGCCAATGCTCGGGGACAGGACTGGGGGCTGCATGGCGGAGGAATGTGGCTCCGAGGAGCCGGCCGTGGTGCCGCTGTGTAAAGATGGCATAGTGCCGGCGCTGGAGAAGCTGCGGAGAGCGTGGAGAGCTGGGCGGGGTGCGGTATTGCTGCGTTTGCGGCTGTGGGTTGAGAAGCGGGGCACGTGTGGTGCGTCAGCTGCTTGGTCGATGCTGTCGTCTGGGACTTCGGGGACTGGGGCTGGAGCGCCGGCGCTGTTGAAGGAGCGTTTGCCCTTTGGAATTGGGCGGGGGCGGCCCTTTGCGACGCGGATTGAATCGCGGATTGGGTTTCGGTTGAGGGAGACGTGGGGTAGGGTTGGGGATTCTTCTTGTGGGACTGGAGGTAGGGCTGCTAGTTCTTGGAGTCCAATTGAAGAATGGCTTAGGAAGGAAAGGGCTGTTAGCCAGACGTAGTGTCGTTCGATGGTTAGCGCCGTAAATTTTAGAGCGCGCTGTGGTGTCAGCACCAGGATGGAGCGGTTGAATGGGGGCGAAGAGCCGGCGCCTTTGGGCATGGGGTTATCGTCTTTGACGTCCAGGACGGATTGAATGGCGACTATAATGAGGAGAGATATTATTTTAGCTGTCACTCCAACCAACTCAAATGAGCTCCTTGAAGACTTACACTTCCGGCCACTCTTGCCGAGCAATGCAGGCCCACTGGTAGGCTGTTTACTACTCCACATAATGGAGCCCTCGTACGGGGCGAGCCAAACCCATCGCCTATGTCGTACACCACTGTTTGTGATATTCGCCGACACATCCTCGGGGTTCTTGCCCTCCCAGTTCTCCTTGGATTCGCCCACTCCGAATGATTTGCGTCGACGGACGTATTTAAACATCCACTCGCCAACCATGGTCTGAGCAATGGCATCAACGACACTGGTCGGCTGCACACCGCCGGTGGAATCTTTTCTTTCACACTGTTCACGGTTCCTGGTTTGAGACGAGGGGGCGCGTTTTGGGGGCCCGCACCGCTCATGAGGTGCTGTGATATCATCACACGGCATCGGCGGTGGTGGTCGGTATGGTCGGTATGTGGGGCTCTCTGGGGAAAGGGTCGAGATCGACTGTGAGGGGGACGAGAAAGTTTCTGCCCTTTCGATAATACCAGACTGTGACTTTGCTGTAGCAGATCGCACTCGGCGGACACTTGGGCGCCGGACAATAGAGTGGCGACCACGGTCTGGGGACTGTCTGCTGACTGAGTGAGTAGGACTTGGAGGACCGTCGCTGCCGTTGAGCGGGAGCTTGCGTGAGCTCAGACGGATGGGCACGGGGAATGGTGGTGCGATGCTTGAGCCTGCACTGCCGCTGTCGAGACTTGGCTCGCTGGGACTGCGGGCACGAGGCTTCTGGTGCAGGGCAGTTCCGCTGGAGATCAGAGTCATTTTGCGTATGCCGGGCTGGCGAATACTTGAGAAAGCTGTACCAGACCATTGAGAAACCCGAGAGCGGCCAATATCGGGTGGTCTTGACTCCGGGGAAGTCAGTTGCTCGTCGACTTCGGGGAGAGACATGTCATCCAAGCTGGGTCTTGATTTCGTAGTGATAAGCTTGCCACGGCTGACAGTGTATGCGGCAAATGGGCGGTTGAGAAGCTCATCATCGGTAAAGACATCGCGTTCGTTATGGGGCCCTTCGTCGTCGCTATTGTGTTCAAACCCGGCGAAGAGACTGCTAGACCGCAGAGGTCGTCGAATATTGGACAAAGCATCATTTGAGAGCGGACCATTGTCGTTGTTACCAGGGTAGGCCTGCACATGGTCTGGATAGGATGCTCTAGGAGGCTTCACGGGACCATCTGTCGAGTGATCTGTTACTAGAGGTCTCTGCTTTCGTTTTTCGGACCGTGGCGGAAGAGGGGGCACAGTGTAAGGCTCGAGGCTAGGCCCTTGAAGCTCAGAACGAGGTAGTGCATCTTGAATAGCAGAAGGGAGAAGACTAGCGGGAAGTTTGACAGGGCGTAGATCAATACGGGTCTCCTCAGTTTGGATGGCGACGGATCGGCAATCAGCAATTGCCCGGAAGTTGGCCTGACAACCGATGTTTTTGGTTTGCGGTGGAAGAACGACACTGTTCCGTGGTGAGGACGGCTCTGAGCCTGGTGGATGAATAGCAATCATTGGAATGTCCATCTGTGATGGGACATCGTTCGGGGGCAAGTTGATATGGTTCTCGCTTTGGACAACATCTGATTCCGGAATGACATCGGTCTGAGTGGACACCGATGTCATTCGCACCTGCTCGGAGATGGATTCAACAGGTTGAGGCGACTCAGCCGCATTGGGTATCCCTGGAGGACTTGGGGGCTCATCCACGGTCTGACAAGAAGTCGAAACCATCTGAGGTGCAACGGGGAGCGTGGCGCTGTCCATCGTTTCAGACATGTTCGTATCAAGGTCATCATCCTTGTCGGGTTCCGAGGCCATTTCCGTGGACTCGGGATGATTGTTGTGTACAACCCTCGTTTCTATCGTAGGCGACGGAGGAGGTGAGTATTGGATGCCGATATCGCGGTATTCGACCGCCGAGTCAAGTTTCACTGGGCTAGCAAGCCCGAGTTCCCGGGTACGGAACTCCATGGCCGTGGGTGAGTGTAAGTCCGAGCTCTGAAGGGACAGACCGAGGATCTTCCTGGCCTTGTCGGAGATACTATGCGACCCCTGTGAGTGAACTGACATTGGACGCTCTTCGGGGAGCGCCCCCGGAGAGGCGGGTAATTCATCTTCATCGTCAGATAGAACAAACTCGTCCTCACCCTCAACATCGTTCTCGTCCTCATCCTCGTCCTCATCCTCGCCCTTGTCCTCATCGTCGTCCTCGTCCTCGTCCTCGTCCTCGACCTCTTCATCGAAATCGAGTTCATCCGCCAGGTTCACTCCTGGACCATCCTTGACTCCAGACGCAAAACTAATAACCGAGTACCGCGCGTTACGGAACATGACCGCCTCTTCAACCTCTTCCGAGCTCACGCTGGTCACGCTCGCGCGTCGGCGGCCTAGGCTACTAGATGCCACGCTAGCCGAGTCACTTTCTTTGTTCTTGTCAGGAACAAAGTCCCCAGTCTTACCCGGCTGTGAACGCGAGTGGCTAGTCGCCACTTCCTGGGTGGCTGCGATCTCATTCAAAACGGTCTTCAGGCGGCCCTCCACTACGTGAACCTTGCGTTCCAGGGTTCGACGCTCATTCGCCCAGGACTCTTGATCGCGATTCCAAAGTAACTGGGTCCGTTCGACTTCCTCCTCACGGCTTCGAGCTTTCTTCTGTGCCTGCTCAAGCTTTCTACGAACGTCGCCGATATTCTCAACCGCTTCATCGCGCTCCCGAGCTAGCTCAGTCATCGCAGATGACGTCCCGCCTTCCAGAAGTTGGATTTGGTGTTTCAACAAGCGACCTTCCCAGGTCGCCTGGGATAGACTCGCGGTCAACGTTTCATTTTCCGTCCTTGATTCGTCCAAGCTCTCTTCTAATCCGTCAATGGCCTTGGTTTTGCTCTCTATCTCCCGCCGCAACGAGAGAATTTCCGAAACGAGAGATGCATGGAGAGTAGGGGTGATCCTGCGCGCGTCGAAAGGTGATAAAGAATCCTCGGTAATGTCGATGTCATCTTCGTCTGTTTGTCCGTCCGGGGAGAATGTGGGGATAAGGAGGCTAGGTGGAGAGGAAGATGGCGGGGAAGAATCTCGCCGGCGCAAAGACGGTCTCGATCTTGATCCTTTGGATGGAACTCGAGATCTGAAAAATGGTGCCGGGGACGGGTGAGCCATGGAGGCCGCGGATTGTAGATCGGCCATAACTCTTTGCGCATGTGCCGGATGAAAAGCCTCAAATCATCGGGGCTCTGCTCCTTGGGCTAGCCAGAGCACGTCACGCACTGGATCCCATCAAAATATTACCGTAGTTCAATCATCCGACTGTTGACTATTTCGAGGCCGGTGCTGATCTGTCTCTAGAGGCAGGTTTCACCTGGTGCGATCGACTAGGCTAACGCGGGATGGAGGGGAAATTCAAGGAGATCGTGGAATTTTGGAACTTGGTGGATCGAAGAGGTCAGCCACAGTTACAACACAGATGTGTGGGATGCACGCGTGAGAGGGCCCAATGCCGATATTTGAATATGCACGGGGGGAGAGAGGCACCCTGAGCATGTTGTATACTTACAGTGACAAACAGGTCTGACAGTTTTAGCTTGAGAGACGAGATGTCCGAGGGGCGTATGGTTCCCAAAAGAGAAAATAGATCAGTCCGAAGAAGGGCCGATCGCGATGAGAGAATCTTTCAAGATCCCTGGGGACTAGTAGAGTTACGAAGGCAATGATCTGACAGGAGTTGAGGCTTAGACCGTAGGGTTACGGAAAAGTCTTTAGGGGAATTTAGATCAGCCTTGCGGCACACCTGCACATATCAGAATCACCGCCGGACGCGAGGAGAGTCTTGGACTTGGCATCAAAAAAAAATGAAAAAAAGTCCCAGGGGTGTTCGTTAGGGGGTAGCATATGGAGAAAGAAACAAATCCACCCGATTAGCCCGCAGGATTAAGACTCCACTGCAGCTGCCAGACACTAGGACGGATGAGCTTTAATCATCAGAGCATGTCTCATGTATGACAAAAAGCCCTTTCGAGGTCTATTCGCGCGAGATAACCATAGACCAGAGTCTATTCTTTGTATGGTAGATCTCAGAGACCACGGAGATGCCGATTATCTGAAAACAAAAGAAGGAAAGATAATAGAAGATTAAAATGGAGCCGTAATCTCGAGGGAGCGAGCTAGTATTGATAAAATGGTCGGAAAGCCCACCGAAAAAGGAAAATGAATGTGCTAAGATCCATAAGTTAATTGCCCGGGGTAGGGGTTCGTGACAAAATCCCACTGCGCATCTGGATCATGAAGCTCAATGGCTTTTTGAGATGGAAAGATCACCCCCCTATTTTCTTTTTGAGATGGAAAGATCACCCCCCTATTTTCTTTTTGGGTGAAATCGACGAAGTTGAAGGCAAATCACAAAGAAGAGAAGTCTTTGCAATGACCAATAGTATCAACTCCGAAGACACTAAAGGATCGATGGCTAGCGTGTTTGAGAATATAATTAAATGGCTGTGTTGGCGGCCAACTTGTAGCTAGTTTAGGTGACGATCGCCATCAACAATTTCGTATGGGAGCTTGTGGTCTGGTTTCAGAATCTCCAGAATGCATATGTTGCATGTTGCATGTTGCATAGCATTGGGTTGACGCCTCTTGATGATACTTCCGCCCCAGGAGACAGTCAATTTGTCAGATCACCATACGGAGTACTAGTCAAATCATCCACGGGCATTGCGGATCAGGGGTAAAAACAGACCCATCCAAGGTCTCCACCGAGAGAGCTTCGAGGAACGAGGAACCCACATCGGCCGAAATGAAGAACCAGACTTCCGTTGTCGTGGTGTGAGGTCCAGTACGGAGTATGTACAACTTACATCGTAATGCGCATTCCATGGCTTCTGTGGCCTCGCCTAGATTGCAAGGCTTTTTTTTGTCTCTTGCGTGTGTTCATGAAAGTGCCGGTCGCACAGTTGAATGTTGGAGGTCGCGTATGAAAAATCCCCAATGATTGGCAATAAATGCTTTATTTTGTCGGACCCGAGGTACGGAGTACGATGTACAGAGTTTGTCATGTCTAGACTCCGCATGTCATGCCCCCAAATTGTTATTGGAAATCGGACCAGTAACGGGGATTGACACGAAGTAGTAAGGAACCTTCGCAAATCATTGCCACCCATTTGCCCCACTGGCCTCAGGGGACACGGGGTACTTTTGCCTTGGACGCGGGCTGGTGACAGGTCGATATTTGCTGAAAGATTTCATATATCCTTGCTCGGATTCTCTGTTTCTTTGATAGCGCTAGTGATGGGTCTAGCTTAGAGGCGCAGGTGATACTGATACTCCAAGGGAGGAGGGGCTGAAGTTGTATATGTTGTATGTTGTTCAAATTTTGTGTGCAGGGAAGATACTGAAGACACTAAATGCACTGAAAATCCATGGAAGGGATCGTCAACCCGGCAATGGCCAATGGTCATGATGACATTTGTGTGAGGTGAGAAGGATGCGAAAGTCGAGAGAAGGCGGGAAAAGAACAGGCAGAATATTCTATGTGCACATTCTTCCTCACGACTCAGCACATACAGTTCTCGAAATAACTACTATACTCATTACGATGTGTGCATATGCTTGTGCTTCCAGACAAGTTTTCGATTAAAACTAATCAGCTGGTTGTTCCCTTTCACAATCCAAAAAGAAGACCAGAACAATAAGGCTGTTAGATCGGCCAAGTAATCGGACTTACTAAGCATATTCAAGATCACCTACCAAGGTTCCGTGTGCCCGAGGGATATTTATTTGAATAGACTCATCGATTTCATTCTGACCTACATGTACGAAGTACATCTAGCTGAGATCTCAACTTGATGAATGTCCAAGGGCAGAGCTCGGAAACCGACATAATTTCGAATGTACGGGGGATATCTGCCTATCAATATCCCCCATCTCCAACTAACGCCAACTTCTCAAAATGTCGGCAGAGCACCCACCTCAGATACTATTTTTCGATACATTCGGCACAGTAGTTTCATGGCGTAAACATGTCACCGCAGAGCTGAGCACAGCCGCCCTACAGGCTCTGGACCATCACTGCAATGACTTTCCTGCCGACTTGCGGGACCGCGCTGCAGCCATGACTGGGGACGACTGGCTAGTTTTCGTCGCAGAATGGCGGCGGACTTACAATGTATTTACCAGCACATTTGATCCATCCAAAGAGTTTGTGTCCGTCGATCAGCACCACTACAACGCCCTTCAGGACCTCTTGCGGCAGCGCGGTCTGAATGGTCTGTTCACTGATGAGAAGCTGTGGGAACTCGCTTTCGCCTGGCACCGGCTCAACCCGTGGACTGATAGTGTTCCGGGTCTCGAGTTGTTGAACCGTCGGTTCGCCACTTCTACTTTGTCGAATGGGAATGTCTCTTTACTGCAGGATCTCCAGCGACATGGATCGCTGCCTTTCACATACCTTGTTAGTGCCGAGAATTTCGGGGCTTACAAGCCTTCTCCGCTGGTTTACAATGGTGCGGCCAAGAATTTTGGACTGGAGCCAGGCCAGTGCGGACTGGTTGCGGCGCATCTCAACGATTTGAAAGCTGCTAAGAGCTGCGGGTTTCAGACTATCTATGTTGAGCGTGAGCTGGAGGAGAAAATGTCAAAGGAGGAGGCCGAGAAGGTCAAGGCGGAGGGTTGGGTGGATATGTGGGTTGATCTTGAGTCTGATGGCTTCCGAGAGGTGGCCAGGCGATTTGGGATTCAGTAAAAAAAACTGGTCTGCCCTCTGAGGTAGTTTTCAGACTCAGGAAAGATGGGCTATGATCTGTTCCGGTGGACCACGTGTATCTTTGAAGAATCTGAATGAATGCTCGAGATAGGATCGGTCCATTCGGCTCAGATTCTATTCGAACCTGTCTTTTCCCTTTCCGATAGCTCCATTTCGAATCCCCCAACATCAAGCCCAAAGGATTTTTAATCTTTGCTATCCAATAGCTGGAGATGAATGGGCTCTGGATTATCATTAGCGATGCGAAGGAATTGCTGGATTTGAATTTCATCCAGCAGCACAAGCCGGGTCTTTCGCCAAAATTTGTACCCAAAACAGTAGACAAAAAAAAAGCGGAATGTAGAAGCATGACGATACAAATGTTTGAGGACTCCAATTTCCGTAATCTTGATGTAGAATCCTCCAGAGAGGAGAATGGTAATGGACGAAACCAAAGAGATCCATGCCGCGTAAGGTTGGAAGGGGCTTCTTCACGGAAGTTCAGTGCGGCTGACCTTTTGCCTTTACAGCCATAAAATAACCTCAAGTAGATCACCTCTACATTGATCCAATGCACTAGAGAGGCAGTTGATATCAATGGCTGGAGCCAATCAAACAAAACGGAAGCCGCAAATTACAGCGTCATTTATCCTCAGACAAGAAAAGATCCGACTACAGCAACTGATGTCCAGGGAACTTCGAAGCGATTGATGCGAATGAATAGCTTTGGAGCATGCCCCTCTTGAGCGAGACCATATGGCGTCTGGTTCCAACGAGCATTGCTATCTTTGGGTTAGCAGAAGTACAGTGGCAGACAGGGAATCCAAACTCACCAGAGTTACCAGCGCCCCATGCACTTGTGACAACGACGGCATTTATTATCAAAGATACCACTGTGATCCCGACATTGGTGTCAGCAATCGCAAATGGAGACGCTCTTATATCCCCGGAGTTTGACAGCAGCTCAGTATCGTTGGAGGGAACTACAAGGCCCATCCTGAAAATGGTGATCAGATTAAATGTCAGGATTCTCCAAAACACACGTTTGGCAGCCTTGGGGATGTTATGGCGAGGGTTTTGCATCTCAGCTGCTGCAACCGAGATATTCTCAACATTTGAAAATGCATAGGCTGCACTGTTTAAAACACGCCAAAATCCTAGGAGCCGTCCCCATGAGCCATCGATCCCAAGGAACTGCGCAAAGGGCCCAGGGTCTCGCCAAAACCGAAATCCCACGGGATAGCCCTGTGGGCCTGCGCCAGAGGTGATGAAGACATTCTACGAAAAACAATCAGCAGCAACCAGAAGATTCTTTGCGCGGCAAGACCTGCTCACCCAGATTTTCACGCCAACAACCAGAGCAACCTTTGAAATTGCAAACACAACCTCCAACTTGCCGTTAAGATTGACCAATAGTAAATTTCTGATGATGAGCAAAGCATCAAGGACGCGAACCCATGCCGCATAGTTAACAACAGACCAAAAGTCGATAATGACAGCACAAGTCACCATCTCAGCCGGAAGCAGTATAGAATTTGCATAAACAATATTCCAGGCTTGAGCAAACGCCAGCGCAGGGTCAACGAACCATTCTGCATGTCTTATAATCCCACCAGAAAGAGGTACCAGAGCACTTAGCTCCGCGGCGGGAAAAACCATGCAGCAGGTAAGCATGCCGACAAAGCAATATGCGAGCAACATGCTAAGTGGTCCACCCCTTGCTAGAGAGATTCCGATTGCTAGGAAAAGGCCTGTACCAATAGTTCCAGCTAGGGCTATCATTTGAATATGGCGTTGTTTCAGCCCTCGTCTTGTTTGAACAAGCTCGGAAATGACTGCACGTGTTTTAACGTTATCTTCGCCCATGATAGTACGTTTGAAAATAGGTCTAGCCTCAATTTCGCTCGTTATGACCTCTTAATTTTGCTCGGGGTCTTGAATATCACTGTTCATTGGAAATGATCAGATGGGAGGGGCAAATAAATAAGAGAGGACAACTAAAATGGTAATTTCCCAGAAATGAGCTTCTTTCAACGATAAAACAACAAGCTCAACAGAGAGATCAAAAAGAGAATAAGAAACGTTTTTTTCATTAGTTCTCGAGTGCATAATCTCCCATCAAACATCAAAACATGCATTCCCAGCCCGGCTGATGCGAACACCAAAGATGGAGCACCAAGGGGTATTATTCATTTACTTTCACATCAAATTCTAAGCTTCGATGTTAATTTAGTATCTTCTCTCATTTCTTGTCCCAGATATCTTACGATGTTAGCTTTTCAGCGGTATCTAGATCAATAGATTGAGAGGCCTCTTGTCCGTCTAGTACATCGAGGCGTAATCATTTTACTAAGGAGTTTAACTATAGGGTTATTGCCTCTCTACCAGTAAAAGACCAGCTGAAGGTATAACGCATGAAGTGTTAGATATTTGACATGGATTGCTATTTTTGCAAGACACGTTTTGGTAAGCGCATGTGCTATTCATATCCGCCCTTTATATTTTCTCTATTGCTCTAGTCTAGAGCGTACTTAATGATGATGTTATCGGAAAGATCACAAGGATAGCTGTTACTTGTATGATTCGATGTTTCCTGTCTTACAGTGGCTTTGCCTATTGCGAAAAGACAGAGCATAATAGGCAAACTATGAGCATTTTGGCGAAGTTCAACGAGTTGCATCTATCTCAGATATAAGAAGACGGAAGGAGAGCTCAATCTCTAGTAGTAGAGTATAAGACATCCCCCAAGAAGTAGAGTTGTTGAAATCAACATCGACCTGTGGCTGACAAAGTTGTCACGCAAATAGCATCAAAATCATTCTCCGTATCCCGCTAAATATGGTAATACTGAGGCAAAACATATTTAGGCCCTGAATGGGAGCAGTGTTGCCCTGCTGGTCAATTCTCGAGTAGAGTGGACGGGCCGTTGATCATTTTTTAATCTGCCATGAGAGCAACGGGAACATCTAAAGGTCCTCTTCTGACAGCTGCAATGTTGCGGAGTACCGACTTGATATTGTTTATGAGAATTGGACTGAAAACAATGTCAAACTTGGCTCTTGCCTCGCGGCATAGGTTGTTTGGACCCTCTTATCCAAGGCAGTGGCTTTCCGGATTCCAACCAAGTTCGATTCCTAGGTCAGTGTCACTCTCCTTTCCTTGTACTTCCTATTCACATCTCCAGCACATGACAATCGCATATCCCTGCATCGCTTCAAGTCTGCTTTGCGAGACCAAAAGGTACTTATATCCCCATTTGTTCGATTATTTCGATTGATACTCTCCCTAGAGTACATCAGATCCAAGTGGCTAACTAGGTGTCTTGCTTCAAGTAGGATGACCTCCGAGCCTCAGAACCCGCCCTCTAAAAATACCTGGATCGCTAGCGATGGCAGCCCGCTCCGGGGGCACCACTGGATGAAAATCGACCCCAAAGTGCAACCTAACTACTGGGTGTAAGCATCGTTCCCCTAACCCCCTCAAGATATTTACTCACGCGCAGATTCCGCAGCCAACACAAAAAGGTGTGTGAATGCCGACAGCACTTCTCAGCCCAGTGGCCAGTCGACCATGTGATGATCGTGAGCATTCCAAATCAAGTTTAACCAAGAGGTAGTATTTCAAGACATGACTAACCCTTGACGGTCCTCTAAAGCAAATCCCTGCATGTGCCTTCAGGTGCCCATATTGCACGGCTCTCGATAATCTGGGGAAACAGGCGCGACCTTGCCCAGCAAGGGTGAAAAGACATATTTCAGCGGCGCATATCGTGAGTACACCAGTATACCTACCCACATGGTAGCCTCAGAGTAACGCTCATATCATTTAGAGAAGGCAAGGAGACTTCTATGTGGGACTGCAGGTTTCCTGTACGTGCACCCAAAGTCGAAAGAGATGCACGCATACTAATCTTTGCTAGCTGTGTTGTCAAGTTCCTGCTGATCCGATACCGTTTCGTCTCACAGTGGGAGGAAGCCGAGTCTGCAACCCCACGACTGCAATGCACACAGGAACAGTTCAGCATACCTATGTTGTGAACCAACTCAATGAAAATGTATGAGAGTTGAAAAATTGAACTTTCAATCACATGCAATACATAGACTTCGATCGTAGGACTAGTTTTGATCGTTATGATACTGGCACCCACAAAGGCAATAAGTGCAATAAGTAGATAGGGGCGTACAGTAAAGACACATCCCCTTGCTCAGATACCAGAGAGACTCTCTGGGTAGTTTGTTGATAGATGGACGATGATTCCAAAGACATTTCTGGTGTCTAGATAGAAACTTTCGCCTTCCCATCACTTTTGATAACTTCAGTCGACTGACTGGTTATTCCTAACTGGCTTGCTCCGTTTCATTGACCTCAGTTGAGTGATTGTGGACTTTATTGCCCGACGAGTCGGTGCTGAGATTCTGCAGCTGAATAAGATTAGCATTAGCCCTGTAAGTAAGCCACACCCTCGTTCTGATTCTCTTCTTCCATACTTCATTGCGCATCATGAAATTTTTTATCATCCTTCCTGGTGCGAGAAAGACGATGTGCAATCGAGTTAATGGTTATCCCTTCAGGGTAGCGCCAAACGGCAATGTGAATTCCATTTTCACTCCTGGAGTCAAGGGAAGCTGTGATTTCGTCGAGTATCAAGATCCTAAGGATCTTTGACCAGAGCTCGTGGGACCGTAATTCGCTGCTTTTGGCTGCCTCTCAACAAGGCTCCGTTGAAAGTTAGTCTATGACATGTGCCAAGATTAGATTAAGATACCTTCCACTTTGGATTATCTTCTTCTGTTTCATATTCGTTAAGAGCTGATGAAGGCATCATCGAAGCATGAACGTCAAAATCCAATGTCGAGAATTGTTAATGTAATACCAATAATACACCCCAGTAATATACATCCCAGCCCTAACTCCCATTTTGTCGGTTTTCGCGGAACCGGTACAGGAGAAAGTCCGTTGCAGCTCCTTATCTGATGTGGTCTTATCTGATCTGACGCACATTGTCAAACCAATCTGCACCTGGACATTAGTACCACGTGCAGCCCGCAATATCCCACAATGCAGCTCAAGTTTCTCACTTCACTGGCCCAGGGACAGCCCGGTGTGCTACACCACTGTGTACACCACCCGCCCCCGCAGCCTAGCCATTTACACCGCTAACGCCACCTCGCAGACCGAAACCCTCGTCGCCTTTGAATACACACGCAGCCATGTACCCAAGCCGCACACACTCGTCTTCGTCGGTGGGCTAGGTGACAGCCTCGGTTCGGTCGACTATTTGAGCGATGTGGTCCGCGCGCTAGACCCATCCCAATGGAGCGTGTTCTCGCTGATCCTCTCGTGCGCCGGCGGGGGTTGGGGCATGGGACGACTGGGCAAAGATGTCGACGAGCTATCACAATGCGTCTCGTACATACGAAAATACAAGGAGCCACAATTTGGCACTGGAAAGGTGGTCATCATGGGCCATTCAACGGGCAGCCAGGACGTGATGCACTATATCAATTGTCCTAACCCACGGCCGGCACACCCTGTCTTCGACCAAAACCGCAGGCCGATTCTGCGGGTGCCAGTCGACGGAGCGATAATGCAAGCGCCTGTTTCTGACCGCGAGGGCATATTATGGGTTGTGAAGTGTGGCACTGCGCGTGATAGCCCAGCCAAGATGCGTGCGATATACGACAAGGCTGTTGCCGATGCGCGGCGGGTGACCTATGAAGATCACGATCGTGTTGATACGGTTGTGCCGTTGTCTATAACTTCGCGGATTGGGTATCCGCCCACTGCGCCGGTTAGCAGTCGGCGGTTCTTGAGTCTGGTTAGCCCAGATAGCCCGGAGGATCCGTCTGAGGATGACTTATTTAGTTCCGATTTGAGTGACGAGCAGTTCCGTGGGACTTTTGGGATGATTCGGGAGAGGGGATTGCTGAAGCAGAAAATGCTGGTGCTGTACTCTGGGAGGGATCAGTCGGTGCCACCATGGGTCAATAAGGAGGCTCTCTTGAAGCGGTGGCAGATTGCTGCTGATGGGAGTGGACGGCAGATCTGGGATCCAAGGAGCACTGTTATTCCTAATGCATCGCATGCGCTGAGTGATGGCGATCAAGCGGAGCCGCGGCGGATTTTGGTGGAGAGGGTGACGGCTTACTTAAAAGACATCCAGCGAGGATGATCTCCATTGAATCCGTTGGATTTTATCTCTTTAGAGTTTATCATTATGTTTCCAGCACAAACGCAAAATTATGATGTTTAAGAAAGTGCAAACTAACCTATCTCTGTGGTCTTTTTGGGTGACACTGGGATATGAGCCTTTTGGAAGTCTTCCACTTCTTCGTCATGGCGTCATTCCCACGCCGAGAGCGTCTCTTAATATGTAAAATTTCCCTGAGTGTCCAATGAGCATAACATGATGTGGCTGTCCGCTATTGAACAAGTCACACCGGCAGATTCTTGGATCTCACTATCTAAAATTGGCTGGATGATAAATGTTAGATTCCACGACAATACCAGGGAACGTCAAGCCCACTCACTAGCATTATTTATTGACAAGAGATTAATATTAAATACAAGACAAGGCGTGAATCTAATATTCACCCAAAGGAAGAAATCATTTTACGCTAACTACACGGCCGTGTCGCAGATAGATTGTTCTGCCTGAAACCCGTTTTGCATCATCACGACTTACTCCGTACATACGTAACTATGTCCACTACTCCATAGATTCCATAACCTGGATGGTAGCCCCTATTGCAGACTTAATGTAAGTGAAGTGATTTTAATCCTATTCCAGAAACACTACGGCATCCCACGGTATCCTACCGAGACACAAGTGGAGTCTGAAGACTAACTAAAAGGGTAATAAAATTGCAATAATGCCAGATCATACTAATGGCTTAAGCATTTTTGGCCACATGGCTTCCTCCCCTTTCTCCACAAAATATAAGATATGTTGTTGAGCTTTGACACGCTCACATGACGTTGAACTAGTCCTACCGGCAATGTTGATCCAATCAATAACGTAACGGGAGGATCCCATTATTGATCCCAAAACGCTCTAGAGGCAAATCACCGGGGACCTTTCGGTGGCTTGGCACTTGAGATCACAATCGATGTTGTACTTTTTCTGCAATACACAGTGTACAATCGCCTGTGATTCAAATTTTCGAGACACCCGAGGCACAAACCTGGACTACCTCCTAGGGCTGGATCCAAACCACAGATCAATTATGAAAATGCCAAAGTCAAGAACCAAGGGGTGATTATGGAAGATCATATTCAGTCCGTTTCCCACAGCCCGTTAGCTTCCCAAAGGCCCCTCTGCTGGGAACCGCCCTGGCGATCGCCGGAAGCCCGGTGCACGATGAATGCACATATCCACAAACAGATGACAGATATACCACAATTTTACAGCAGATGACAAGAGCCGTTGCATCATGCACGTCAATATAAGGCAGGTACCTATTGAATCATGTTGGTGGCACGGAATGCTCCATAGCCGATGTGAACCGGACTTGAGATTTGAATCCTAGACCAGTGCGAGACCATAGCGGACCGTTGAACGGTACAAATTCAGCATTCCCCATATCATGGTGTATAACGGCGAGGCGGGAGGATCCGTTGACCAACCAACCAACCCCTGCCATTTGAATCAAATGCACGGCCACACTGTTGGTGTCCTGGAAAGAACTCCCCTTACGGAGTAGTATGGTAACTAAGCCGTTAGACGGAGCCTTCTATGTGAATATGGGGATGCAACCATCTTGGCTTTAGGCGTTACAAAAGGATGCTACGGAGTTGAACATGCTGGTACACGAAAAGGGGGGGGGGGGGGAGGGGAAGGGGGAAACCAGCAGAGAGGCTTAACTACATTTCACTACTCAGTACAGTTTGGGCTTTCTCTTGAACAATTAACTGAAAGAGCCTACGTCAATTGAAATCATGGTTCTTCCTTTAACTAAAAAAAAAACAAAGAAAGAGAACAGAAAAAAAAACTCCGTCCGGGCCCGGCCCATCACATTCAGCCCAAAAAAGTAACAGTTTCCCCGACATAACCCCCTGGCCCGCTGCCACAGAACTGGGACACGAAACGGAGCCATCCCCAACCAGTTACTTGCTATGGAAATTGAGTGGAGTTGTAATTCTGTTGTAGAAAGCAGAAGATGAAAGAAAGGGGGGAAGTCCAAACAAAGCAAATGAAATGGCGGAAAAAGAGCTAGTATGGAGCACAGTGAGTAGTACATACCCACCTTCCGAACTTCCTCCCGCTGTCCACCTTTGTAGCTAACAGGCTCTAGGACGATCTATGTATCAATAGGGAGATTTTTAAACGCGCCGTTCCGCGGGTGGACATTGCATTGCCATGAAGCCTTTTTGCTTTTACCAATAGCTACAGGCTAGAAGAACACATTCTTTGGCTAGACATTAGGTATGTCGGATGCATGCGCAGAAGCCAGAAGCAGGCAGGCTAGGGAACAGCGAGACTCGGGGCCCGGAAAATGCAAGTGGCAGGGGTAGAAGAACTAGCAGGGGTACAACGTGGAAGACGATGAAGAGAGCCAATCTCAGGTGGCCAAGAATCGATCCTTAACTAGTTCGAGGTTGGCGTCGAACCTTTAAAAGGGGAGGAGATGTTCCGGAATCCCAAAGAGTTCAGGGTACCCCATCGCATTCATTTTGACTTACGCTATTCGGGTAGCGTCTCCCAGAGCCATGGAGGAAGACCTGCCTATTACTGATCAAGGGCTTTACCTCAGCAGGGGTTATAATTGTAAGTGGAGGACGTTGGGAGTAAGTAATCCGAGTTTCAAAAACTACCATGGTGATGGTTTTTGGGCCACCATCGAGACTAATTTAATTAATTCTATTTCCATTTATTCCAGGGGTTTGGATAGTGCTGTTATTGTATTACATAAAGGAACGACTCTATCTTTGTAGAATACAAAGAATGCATATTCTTAGTACTCGATACTCCAGAGGCTAGGGCGTAAAAGCATAGATCATGTCTTCCACGTGTCGACTGGGGCAGATTCTACCTTAGTTTGAGAAATAGATGGAGAATAATGATACGGAGTACGGAGTACAGATACTCAGTTAACCGAAATTTTAATTAAAAAAAGAGAGGAATTCGAAGCTCAGCTTCCTTTCCCAGCAAGGAAATGAGCTTTAGCCAAGTGTATCCGGGACTATCCACTGTGCCCTGTGCGTTTCTCCTTTTTACTGTGGACCTTCGGGACCTGAACTTTTCGCCACTTTTCTCTTGGGGGGGGGGGGGGGTTGGATATACATTTTACCATTTTCCACTTGCTCTGAGATCGTCTAATCTGGCGTAGGTCCAGTGGAAGGAACTTTTTCAGAGACCTTTGGATATTTTAGAACAATGAAAAGATAGATATAAAATAGATTTGATAGACATGGGAACATCGAACCAGAGAGATGTAGTAAAAAAAAAAAACGTTAGTCTCAGCACACAGCCCTAAAAGAGACTGCAATGTGGATATTTAGGAAATGTAAAAAGGAAAAAAATGTATGACTTCATAGAACTATCACTTAAAAAAGGTCCCCTAATTACTTCCCTACCAGTCAGAATGAAAATTTTTTATGTCTCTTTTTTTTGGCCCTTTTAAGTGGTTTAACATTTGTTTTGAATTTTTTTTTTTTTTCATATTTGAAACGGTCTCGGAGTTGGGCAAGTGTTTAGAGAACAGGGATGGGGATAGGAAAAGTGCGAAATTCACCTATTCTCTTTGATTTTTATTCTATTTGATATTCTATGCTCTACATTTCTCTACTTTGTTAATTCCTGCCTCTATCTACGTACATCTCTTTATCCGTCTATATCTGCCTCCTCCGTATATCTCGTTATATTCCAATATTCCTCTTGAACCCCTCTCTCCACTTCGTTCCAGCCCCCGGACCAGACTTCGCACACTGTTCTTCCCCCTCTCCTCTTCTCTCCCTATCTCTCTCTCTCTCTCTCTCTCTCTCTCTTTTTTTTACCCTTTGACCTTTTCCTCTTTCTTCCTTCCCATCTCTTTCTTTGCATTATTCTTCTACAATTGGGGGTTGCTGTGAATCGCGTGGAAGCTCCCGCTTTTCTTTTTCGCCCCCCCCCCCGCCTAGAACGTGGGCCACTTCAACACACCTTCCCCCTCCTTGCGACTTAGAACTTTCCTCCTCTTTCCCCTGAAATAATTATTGGTATGGCATCTGCAAGCTGTATCACTATGGATATGCTGACTTCTCTAGGCTCATTGTCGTCACTGCTTCTTCTTGATCTGTTCTCAATTCCAGTTGCCCGCCATGGCTGGAAAAATGACGTTGTACAAGCTGGTGGTGTTGGGAGACGGAGGTGTGGGAAAGACCGCCCTTACCATTCAGGTTGGTCAAGCCCTTGACATCTGGAGCCAAAAAAATCTCACTAAAACTGTACTTTTAGTTGTGTCTTAATCACTTCGTCGAAACATACGATCCAACCATTGAGGATTCATATCGCAAACAAGTCGTGATCGATCAACAATCGTGTATGCTCGAGGTGCTGGACACAGCGGGCCAGGAAGAATATACCGCACTAAGAGACCAGTGGATCCGGGATGGGGAGGGTTTCGTACTGGTGTACAGCATCACCTCGCGCGCCTCCTTCTCCCGCATCACAAAATTTTACAACCAAATTAAGATGGTCAAGGAATCGTCAAGCTCCGGTTCCCCCTCCGGTCCCAGCTATTTGAACTCGCCCATGAGCCCCTCATCTGGTCCCGCAATGCCCGTCCCCGTTATGCTAGTCGGCAATAAGAGCGACAAGGCTGTCGAGCGCGCAGTTTCAGCACAGGAAGGTCAAGCACTGGCCAAGGAGCTGGGCTGCGAGTTTGTCGAGGCATCCGCGAAGAACTGCATCAACGTGGAGAAGGCCTTCTACGACGTTGTTCGCATGCTGCGCCAGCAGCGACAACAGGGGCGTGCCGCAGACCGTCGTCCGGCAGGCTTCGGATCGGGCCACCGCGATCGCGACGCAGGCCCCGAATATCCCAAGTCCTTCCGGCCCGACAAGTCGCGACATCGCAGTCGGCTCCAGTGTACTATCTTGTGATCGATCGGGTCCGTCCGCGAGGCGTTGGATTTCTTGCTTCCTGAAATAATGGCCGTTTTCCTTTTTTTATTATCTGTTCTCTTTCTTTTGGTTCTAGGTGCATCTGGAGGGTGGTTCTATCTTTTGGTTACCTCGGCGTCGGTGGTCCTTGCCATGCTACATCTTTTATGCTCGCATTCTGAAGGGCTTGAGAACTGGCGTGAGGACTGAGGCCCACCAGTGTCGGCAAACCTGGAGCGCTAAGTTCTTTTTGTTTTGGCTTTTGTTTTGCTCTTTGGAAATGCGCCAAGGCATGCAGACTGGCTGTTTAGATTTTTACAAGCTCCCCTTACTTTTCTTTCCTTGACGATCGCCTCTCTTCTTCGGTTTCTGCTTATTTGACAAGTTGCGATCGGAGAAATCTTTCGGACACGCTTCAGAGCAGCCCGAAAGAAATCACCCCCTCT